ATATATATATATATATATATATATATATATATATATATATATATATAAAAAACAAGTATAAATGGTGTAAATTTATTTTAAATTGATTGTGTGCAGTTTACTCGCTGGATTTGTTCACAGGTTTTAATAATGATGAAAACAGAAAGAGGTAAACATGAAAGTGACCAACTTGTCACATTGGCTGAAGTTGCTTTGCACATGCCGGCTAAAGTCATTAATAGTTTAATGAGCCTCCTCCAGTGGCATGCAGGGAAAACACTGGATGTAAAACGAGCAAAAATACTTCATAATGCGTCAAAACTCCCTTTAAACCTGCCTCTGCTACAAGAAAGCATCATCTGTACACATTAAAGTGTATGTTTACTAAATGTATTTATTATTTATAAGCGTTAAACTAGCAAACATGCTAACCATGCTAAGAGTGTTAGCTGAGTTTTTTTATTTACTTAATAGTTAAATATATATGTATATATATATATTCACATGTGCAGTTGTTAAATTGGGAACTGAAAAAAAGCATAAAATTGTCATTAATAGTTTGACAGAGTGGGCAACATTGAGCTAATGTTTCTTGCTAGCATTAGCATGCTACATCCCAAGTTATTTTAGCGTAGCTACCTTTGCGTTTCTTCTACTAACGCGTGTGACATATTTGAAGACTTATGGAGACACAGGAAGACATAGCAAGGCTTGGCTATGATCCACGTGCAGTGGGGTTTGACTACACTGAATGAGGCCTGTTTTCTTAAAAGTGTGCATTCTCCATTTTGAACAATAAGCTCCTTCCTGCATTGCTCGCTCAGATTAGGTATGGTTCTCGTCGCCCCGGCAGGGCATGCTAACACCCTGCGGTGTGCTCAGGGATCGTTAGGGTTATTTACCCGGAGTGCTGGCGTGAGTGCTCTGACTCCGAAAGCTGCTCTCTGTGCAGAAGCTGGCACCATCCTCTTCCTCCTCCAGCCCATCATCTTCCAGGCAGTCAGAGTCCTCTTTGAGGCCCTCGTCCTCCTCGGACTGGGGTTCCTCCTCGACGAACTCGTCCTCCTCCGACCTCAGACTCACAGCATCCTCATCTTCCTCGCTCTCATGGTCATCGTACACCACGGTTTTGGTTTTGGGCACAGCCTTCCGCCTCCCTCCACGGCCACCTCTCGCTCCTCTGCCGCCGCCGCCGCCACCTCTGCCTCGTCCCCTGCCCCGCGTTGATGGTGCTTTCTTTTTCCGGACTGATTTGGTGGCCTCTCTCGAGGGGCTCTCGGCGTCCTCGTCCCCGCTGTCCTTAAACTTGGGTTTTATATTCCTCCTGGGTCGCAAGCCCCGGGTCGTGGCTGGAGACGGCTCCTCGGTGTGTAGCGGTTTGGGCGGCCTGCCCCTTTTCCCTCTCATGATAAGCGAAACCTATTATATTACAATCCCAATGTTTGCGTGGATTTGGCATACACGATGGCGAGCGAAAAAAACAACGGTGCCGCTACAAAGACGAACCGGTTCGGACTCGAATGACGCCGTAGGCCCGGGCAGCCCCTGCGCCTTTCCGAATGCGAGAGCTCAAAACGTTAGCCCGGCGTCCCGTTCTGGTCCGCCTAGGGCCGCCATTTTTCTTCTCTGCCTATCTGGCTGAACAAACAGCAGGCCCTGGCTGGAGGAGTCACGTGATCACGCTGCTTCAGCTCAGCGACATCAACGAGCGAAATATCACCAAACTAGCCTGTTTTTATGTTTTAATTCATAATTATTTACAGTAATGTGATTAAACATGGGCAGCCGGGCTATTAAACAGTTTTCTATGGTGGTATCATGTAATAAATACAACATAATACATTGCTGAGGATTAACACTAATGTAGCTTTTCTATAAGTTAATGCATTAAGCACTAGAAAGTTTTTTTTTGTTAATTTAGAATAAGTTAGATTGCTTGAATACAGTACAGTTAATTCATTACAACTAAAATAGCCACTATTTACCATTGCAGTATATGATATATATGATACAGTAATAAGGATAGCTAAATGCTTCAGATTATTCCCTTGTTATTTAATTATTATTTCCAGGTACTTGCCAGCTTCATAGGAAGTAGTCCCGACTTAAATTGTAGTTTGAAGTTGACATATTCACATCATACATACATACATGTGTGTCATGTATGTTTTTAAATGATCATGTTCAATTTACAAAACAGTATAAGTACAAAAGCATCACGTGTCGTACATGAGGTGGAACAAAATTGTGTACACAGGGTCCCAGTTACATGCAACAATAGCAAAAATACAAAGTGTAAAAGAAACAATAATAAGGATGTAAGATATAAACTACGAATACACTAAGCACTAATGGTACAAAACAATGTGCCAAACAACAGCAGCACAATGAGTCTGTGTGAGCAGAAGAGTACAATTGAACACAGCAGCATGAAATAATCAGCAGCATGGATAATCAGCAGCACATAACAGTCAAAGTGGCATTACAGTAATTTTTTTACAGTGATAATCCTGGTTAGGGATTTATGAGTCTAACAGCTTCAGTGTAGAAGCTGTTCCTCAGTCTAGTGGTTCTACACTTAATGCTCCTCAACCTCCTTCCTGAGGGGAGTGGGGCAAAAAGTGTGTGTGCTGGGTGAGTGGGGTCCTTCATGATGCAGGTGGCCCTCTTCCTGCATCTGGAGGTGTAGATGTCTGTGATGGTGGGGAGGCTGACTCAAACAGACTTCTGTGCAGCCTTCACCACTCTCTGCAAAGCTTTTCTTTCTGCAGCTGTGCAGCCTCCATGCCACACGTTGATGCTGGAGCACAGGATGCTCTCCACTGCACACCTGCAGAAGGAGGTGAGGACTGAGCTTCCCAGTCCAGCTCGGCTCAGTCGCCTGAGGAATTAGAGTCTCTGATGTGAGTGGAAAAGCATATAAAATAAGTATTGCAGGGAGTAGTCATTCATTCAACCTTTATTTATACAGGTTAATCCCACTGAGCCTCGGGGACTCATTTACAAGAGACCTGATTGTAACAGGGTGATGACAACAGTGGAACAACAAAGACAACAATAGACAATCATAAAGGATGCATACAAATTGAGATTATTATTTTTTTTTAACAACTGAAAATAAAACGGTGTTTAAAAGAAAATGTAACTAAAAACAGCTAGATTATAAGGCAATGTAGAAAACTAAAAACAGTAACATGTCTGCATTGTTTTTTCCCAGGAACTTAGCAGATGTTTGAAGCCACTTAGAAAGGTCAAGGTCAAGAGCTTCAGATCTTTTTGCAAGATATTCCAGGAAACAGGAGCGGAGTAGGAGAAGACCCGTTTGCCTAGTTCAGTCCACACTGAGGGGACACTGCAGGTAATAGTGTCCTGAGAGCGCACGCTGTAGCTGCACTCACGCAGAGACATGTAGGAGATGTATGAAGGCAACTGACCAAGAAGTGATTTAAAGATTTTAAGTGGATAAATATAACTATTATAAGCATAAAACAAAAGTATGAAAAAAGTCTTAATATGTATTCATATTTTATGATTGTATTGTTGTCTTTGTTGTTCCACTGTTGTCATCAGCCTTTGTCCTTAGGTAGAGAACTTTACTAATTGGCTTTTATGTATGTGAATGTTTCTGTAAAGTGCTCTGAGACAACTTTGTGATTTGGTGCTATATAAATAAACTGAATTGTTAAAATCAGGTCTCTCTTGTAAATGAGTCCCCGACGCTCAACAAATAAAAATTAACCATTACACAGGTGTCCTGTCTTATTATAAATTTTCATTGATGTAAACTCATCAGTTGTCGTGGCCGAGTGGTTAAGGCGATGGACTAGAAATCCATTGGGGTCTCCCCGCGCAGGTTCGAATCCTGCCGACAACGCATCATTTTTATTTGTATTGTGTTTTGCGCTTTTTACTTTCGTAAATGTAACTTACAAGTCAAACACACACAAGGCATGGTGACATTCGCTTGTTCTAACTTCTTTGTAATATTCGCACATATAAGCAGGAACTGGAGCGTTGTTCAGGGTTTACTGAAGGTTACATCAATGATGAAATGGCGCCCCCTACCGTAAAACTACCAAGACGCTGCATAGGAGTTCGAAAAATGTAATCTGGCATATCTCTATCAGATATTGCAGGCCTACAGTTAAATAAATAAGTAAAAAAAGAATTTGTGCAGGACTGGTCTGAACAAAATCATCTACGTGATGTTCAATAAAGGAGGACCATTGATGCTTTTATGATGGGACAATAATGTTTGTGATGTTTGGTGATGCGTTCATGAACACTTTTATTAGCAGAAACACCATTAAAGACAGTTCAGTGTTTACTGTGCGATCGAAGTGTACATTTTAAAGGTTATAATTTAAAGACACAAACGTGTATGCTTTGTTTAAGCTTACAAGATCCTCCTCCGACAGAGAAAACGATGTGTGTGTGTTTTAGGCAGGAAAACGAGCAGTAGGAGGCAGTAGTTTACCAGAAATGATAGAATAAAATCCCAGTTCTCCCCTTAAAGAGTGAACAGTCCCATAAATAATTACAAATAATCATATAATAGCTTTGGTATCTGTATGATTTTGATTATTATTATTATATTTTATCAGTATAAGGGTCAGAATCTCAAAGCCGTGTGTTTCTGTAACTAAAGTATTTTAATGAGAGTTTTGGCAGCAGCAACAACCCCGCAGGCCAGCTTTACAATAGACCCAATGTTTGTACTGGTTGTGCTGTTTGCATAAAGAGTGATTCAAAAAGATAAACGTCACACTGCTTTGACATAGATTGGCAGGCGACTCTGCGGATGGAAAGTTCATGCCCTAAATGCACCTTCATGGACTGTGTGGTGACTCTGGAGGCAGCCGTGGAAGTCATCGTGAACGAGCTCGTCTCATCCACCTGGTGGGGAGCGGAGTGGAAAGTGTCAACCTTTGCGTGACACATAAACGCACACGCAGGCGAAATAAGTGATCTGATAACTCCATCACTAATCTGACACCTACGCAGACACCTATTTTTTTGCATGTGTTCCTGACCGAGCCTTGTCCAAGTGGCCTTGATAGTAAGCATGAACAGAAATAGACATCATCTTTAAAATGTCACACGGAGTAAAACTGCATCTCTAAAAAGGCTGATGTAAAGGCCAGAGGAGCGGGGATTCCTATGGTTACTGTTAAAACAAAGCGCTCTGAACTTCTTCTGTTACTCATACGTTCATACTGAGTTGTATGTGTGATTGTGTTAATTTGACCAGAATCCTGCTTCTCTTTATGACACATCTGTCTTATTATGGACATTGACATTTCAACATTTTGACATTTACATCCTTGTGATTGCAGTTGAGGGGGCAGTGGCCCAAAGCTTATCTCCATTACCAACAAATCAGCCACTATAGCCACCATTACACCTCTAACACTTTAATTTTTATGGCTCAAACACACAGGATAATGTTTGTACTCGTGCATGTGTGATAGAAAATCAAATAAAGCTTCTTCATTGCAGAAACAAGTCCCATTTTTTTGTCTAAACTGAAGCCAAAACATCCGAGTCTCAATCAGCTGTGTTCAGGAGCCGACACCAACAGGGCATGAGATCACACGCCGATAATAATCTTCTCAGCTCTGAACTCGCAAATCCTCAAATCATCTTAAAACATCCTTGCTGAAAGGAGAGCAGGGGGCTTTTAAAGCTGACATTATTGCTGCTGACTTCCATCGTGGCACCATATGGCAGCTTTGTCAGGAGCCAGAACTCCCGGGAGCAGAGTTTTTACTCAGGCCTCCCAGAAGCCATCCCTTCATTGTTTTGTAGTTTTATGGGCTAAGAAAAAAAACTTCCTTCAGCTTCACTTGAATCACGCAGACCACGGCGTGAATGACTCTGTGTGTTGGATGTACTTGTAAATGTCCAACATGAATAGATGCACTGAGGCAGGAGGAGATGGTTTTTTTCAGGCCCAGGACACGTTGAATGATTCCAGATGAGAGGACGAGAAAAAGGACGGCAGCGTTGATGTGACAGTCTCTGTTGGAGGCAGTCAGAGATAAAAACCAAGGCAGAGAGGAGCCAGGCGGACGAGAAGAGCATCAGTGGTAAAAGTCAAAATGTGGAGCAGGCGGTGTTTCAGACGTGCTGTGTAACATTCTGCTGCTCTGCACCTGCAGAGCAACTCTGATCTTTGATTCAAGAAATGAAATCATCAACTTCCTTTCATCTACTGCACCTCAAGAAGAAGAACTCCACTAAGACATAGTGACATTTTGGACTGACTGACTTGTGTCTTTGCTCTCTTTATAACTAGTTTTAAGGCAGGACTTTACATCCCCATGGGGGGGGGGGGTGTTAGATCCGTCTGTCCTTGCATGTTGTGAGCATGATAACTTGAACTCGAAAAATAAATGAGGTACTGACTTTCATTTTGGTTTGTGGTTACATCTAGGCATAAGAAAAGATCCTTTTGAAAACTGGGTTGCCACATCAAAATCCAAGATGGCTGCTACCATATGTATATATATATATATATATATATATATATAAAAACTGGCCATTCCTACCATGTGAGGAAAGTATGCTTTGTAGTTTTTATATTGTTTAAAAGTATAGTTTCCTGAAATGACTGGGATGGCCTAAGATTATTGGCCACCCCCTGGATCTGCCATTGCAC